CCTGAGAATAATGAAAAAGTCAGCGCATGCTTTTTCATCGCTCGAAGCATATGGCGATTTCTCGCTGCCAGAGCACAAAAACGCACAAACATACCAAGCATATATTATCAGAGCAGCAGATTATGAAATCGTCATTGTTCACTTTTCTATTCTCAATAAAAATGAGTTTTTAATAACTGATCAAGTTTGCGCAAGACAATTCGCCCGGGGACAAATTGGTGCCGGAAAATTGGCGAGTCAGTTCATGGACAAGTTTCAAAGTCACTTTTTATAGACCCGTCGATTTAGGCACCTCATTTCCTGAACAAATCGGTATTTGCAGAGATCGAAAGCTAAATTTGGCAAAACCTTGCACACAGTACAGGTTATCACTACGATTAGAATTTAGAACTGACCAGAAACAACTATTAACATATTTTATAGCTATAATTTTTCAGTCAAAATCCGGTCAAGGCTTACCATTATTGCTCAATATATTCTTGGCTTTTTTTTCAGTTCAGCGTTATTTTTTTAGCACAAACTTTCATCCATTGTTCTTTAAAGTCTTCTCTCATTCCGTAATGTCTCAATAGCTTTTCAAAAGTGTGACTCGCTGAAATGACTAATTTAAAATACTGTAAATGTGTCATGAAAGTGTTTCACGGACACACTGTTTAAAAAAAAAGTTTCCTCTAAGAATAACCCCATTCTATATCCGGAAACTCTGCTTTTACTGATACTGTAGAACTACTGTACTAAATACAGTATTATTCCTAATACTGGTGAACGTTTTGCCGATGCTATTTTTCTACATCAGTTTCACATTTAGATCGATAAACTTCTTGAGTATTGAAGCAGATAAATATTTTCAGAGGAAAATGGCTCATGCTACGGATATATATATAGCGTCCAAAAGAGTTGCCATATCATAAAACTTCCAAAAATATTTTTCTCCATAAATCTCTGTAAAAATTGTAAATGAGCACCCCGAACCGTGGTTTCCCTCACAATAGCCAAAATTCTTCGAAAGAAGACTATCTCTCTTATTTATTATGCCTCAACACCATTTAAAACTTATTCGGACACCCAGGAATGAAGGTCTAAATTTGACGAGGTAACTGCTCTGTATGACTTTAATTTCAGTAATTTTGACTTTTCAGTAAAGGATTTGAAAAAGGAAATTTTCACGGAACACCTGAAGATTTCGTTGCACCCCTTATATCTGAAGTGTTTCAGAGGATGTGAAACACGTCAATTCAAGCGTGAATCGTCTATTAATTTCAAAATTGTTTCCGAATGTTTTAAATGATGACTATCTTACAGCAGTATCCGGATTATTCAGTAATAAATATTATTTTGATCTCCTATTGGTGAATTTTTTCAGTCCAAAGCTTAAAAGTTTCTCTCTAAACATGCAAAATACTGAAAACGACTCGACTTCAATTGCAAAAAACCATGGTCATGAATAGAAACGAACTTGTCTGTAGGTAATATTGATCATCTAGAACCCCTGAATCAGTTGAATCCTTTAGAAGCTCGAAGGTTAATAAAAAATGCAAATCTGAGCTCAACTCTTTGTATGCTAATTTTAGGTACGAAGTGTTGTACATCGTATTGTACACAGTGTCAAAAATGGCTTTCGTGTCATGACTCATGAAACAAATAACATCCAAGAAAGACTTTCAAGATTTGCCAGCAGCTCCTATCTTCAAGGTAAAATCGGAAGTTTTCAAAATCAATTTCGGAAAACCCACAAACCGAATGTTGGCTCATGAAAAAGTCGCGATTGTCTGACGCGTGAAAATATAGTACAAGTGTTTTACAGCGCAATGAAAGCAGCAACAGTCATCATTGCGGAGATAATTTATACGTTGATTACCGCGCAGTAAAGCTAACACCATTAAAATGAGTCCGGTTTCATTGCACAATTTGTTTTGCAAAATGTTCTTCGGCTATTTTATTTTTCTAATCAGACAAAAGTCGATTTGAAAAATTCTGCGTAGCCTCGCATCACCGTCACAAGCCAACAGGTCTTCATCACGGATTAGAAGAAAACCAATAATTTATTTCCCAGATAATTTAGTAAGATACATTCTCCATGTTGTAACCGATTTTTCAGAAATTGTAACATCCAGAGACACGTAATACATATTTAAAAAAATTCTTGACCAGAAAATTATAAGTTTGGTTCAAGAGAACTTTGCCGTCACTTAACATGAACTGCAATCCTTTCCAAAGGTAGAGTTGTTGGGCAAAACCCTGTTCTACAAGGGTTAAAATATAGAGTACAGAATTTCCAATAGCCTATTCACAAACCGAAATTGTGCATATAAATATTTTGTGTTTAAAAGTTATTTCGAAATTATACTAGATTTAATGTTTTGAAGTTTATTGCTTTTTTTTTAGAGTTTTAGGGAAATCCTACGTCAAGCGGCATAATGAGAAATCCGAGCTTTTGGCGAGGGCCAGAAATTAGCGTTAATTTCATAGTGATTGTTTGGAAGGGGTTAGTTGAAGGTAATTATTTTCATAGCTCAGAAAAATCAATCTCCAATTTCCTGTGAAATTTTGAGGATTCTAAAAAACATACTTTCGCTGAATCGAAGGAGACCTTCTCGTGACAAGCTTTAATTCCTCTTAGTCTACAGCACAGTGTGTATAGACTAGCAACATAAAACATATACTTTTCAATTCAATAAATAAGTTGTTGAAACGATTCCAAAATTCTGAAAAGGACAGCTCCAACTCAGAACATATAATGCAAAATTTGAAGAAAAGTTTCAACTTTTTTTTGGAATTTGCATAGAAATATCCGAATAAAAATATTGTACCGATAGCTTCGTTGAAAAAACAACTCTCCATTGCTTGTTCAGCAAGGCTTTTTTGAGTACCTCATCCAGACGGTTTCTAAGTTAATTGAATTTAACTGGCCTGATTGTTAAGCAGTGGCCCATTGTATTTTCCTGTTCAGTTCTGAATGCAATTGAGCTTCTGAATAAAAAATGTTCAAAGTCAAATCTCCTGTGGATTAACAGAAAGATAATGAACTTGATTTTCAAGGATTTTGTTCAATATGCGTTGATATACTTATAGCTTGTCAATCAGCATTTCAAGGACACTTGACCGTCAAACAGCACTATACTGGGTATACCCAGTAAACCACGCAGCTTGAAAACGACGCAAGAGGGACTTGAGCTACAGTAACAGAATAACGGAATGAAAGCTTGTTCAATTTAAATATATTTGGTTTTATGGTCCCAAGCATCATGGAATGGTCAAAAAATCCTTTTTAAATTAAAACTTTCCGCAAAAAGTAGTCAAGCAACTTTTTCCACTAAGTTGCTATTTTGTAGAGCTTTTTCCATGATTTAAGGAAAGGCAGAATGCAATAATTTTAACCAACAAAGTTCATGCTATTGTGGAGAGCCGTCACATGTTTACAAATTCAGAAGAGGGGGGGAGGGGTGGAGATTGACAAGTAGGATGCTGCAGGACTTCCGTGGTGCACATGTGCTTCTTGGTCGCCCTTATGGCTCCTGATTACCCACTGCGTGCACATTTTTTTCTAATTTATTCAGTTTAGTTCAGTTTATTTCAAAATAATTTTCACTTAAAATCAGTTTCAGAAATCTACTCATCCAGAGAAAAATGTGCAAGCATGCAGTGGGTCATTGGGAGCCGTGAGGCCAGCATCAAGGAGCACTTGTGCACCACGGGAATCCCGTAGCATCCTACTTGTCTCTTTTCCTCCTTCTCATCAGTTCCTTCTGAATTTGGGAAAATTTGAAGGCTCTCCAAAACAGCATGGACTTTACTGGTTATAATTATTGAATCCTGCCTTTCCTTAAGTCAAATCAAATCACTGCTCCCTTCTTTGACATTCTGTAGTGAATATATCAGAAGCAAGAGAAGAGTTCATTCTGGGGAATTCAGCAGGGAAGTTGAAGTTTGGCAAATCTAGGAGTGGCTGGCCCCCATTGTTGAAAAAAGTGGTGGTCAACATTCCCCAATGGCTTAAGCCGGCTTAAACCTCTTGTGTCATTTTCGTCCTGGTTGATCTTCCTTACGCCCTTCCGTATCTTCTTTTGAACATAAATGTTTGGCCATCGGAGGAAATTTTCAATCACAAGGTTTTAAATTATGTTTCTAATATTTTGTTGCTTTTTGGCCTTGAAAAAAATACTCATGACAGATAATTGATGTGGAAAACGTAATTATCGACAGTTGAAAGGAAAGGATAGATTCCATTTGTATCACAATTTATGTGTAAGAATAATAATGTCCAGCAGCTTCATTCATCCACGATAATAAAATTGCAACATCAAATGTGGAAGATACAACACAAAAAATCCAAGGCTCGAAGCAGAAAATTTCTGCAAGTTGGCAGATGGTAAAATTCAAGGATTCAAGTCATGAATTCAAGAATTTAAGCTCAAGAATTCAAGAAGTCACGCATCGCACATTTTCTATGAATCGTAATGCCACCATCATATGCATTCATCCTTAACCCCGAACCACAGCGGGGACGATTGAAGAATACTTGAAATCTTTTTTTCAAATATTTACTCAAGTAATTGTGAACAAAAGGATAAACTCCATAGATGAGCAATGTTTGTTTTTCTGTCCCCGTTATCGTCGCTCGGAAAAATTGAAGTTCTTGGCCCGCCGGGGAAAAGCTTTCGTGTTTTCCTCGTCACCATGTGTTATCATCATCACGGAAAATCGTGATTAGCGACATTTATAAAGCAAAGTATCGGATAATGAGCAAAAACAAGTTTTCTCTCCCTCAAGAAATTAGAGAAAATCTGCCCTTCACAACCAAACGAAGACGCCAATTTGAACATGATCTTCAAAATTCTCACGCGTGCTGCTTCACTGCTGTGTCGTCGTCTTGCGCGACACACGTGCAGTCGTACTTTACTTGTTTTCTCTCCTCCCCCATCGGCCTTGAACAAAATTGTTATTTCCTTCGAATTCTGAAGGAAAAATGCGAATAGAGACGACAATGACGTTTTATTGCAGAAGCAGGGAATTAAGAAGGGGGGGGGGGAGCGTTTCACGCATTCTTTTCCGAAGTGCAACGCCGCGGTCCCTCAATTTGTCCGAGGTAATTTGCAGCACACGCAAAAATTACGCCGGTTTCGATTCAACACTGCTGAGTTGCGTATTTAAAGTCCGCGTCGAATCGTCAGTCGGCATCAGTTCGGCAGCATCCCGTCTCCTGGCAACAAACCCACTGACAAAGGAAAATTAAAAAAAAAATTGCATCAGAGCTGTGGAAAATGGTTAGCTACGCTGGAGATTGTGATATAATCCTTCCAACAAAAGTGGAATTCGTTGTGCGATTTTTTATTTATTTTTTCTAGATGAGGAACATGGGAATCGCTGCTCTGTTAGCTGCTGCCTGCTTGGCATTGGTCCAAGCTCAATACCATGAAATGAGTTACCAACCTTCGGGAATGCCGTCAAAAAATGTCATGATGATGATGGTACCGCAAGGTATGACAGCCCAGGAAAGGAAGTACGGTGGAGAACAGATGACATCCTATTACAAACCCGAGTACAAAAAAGTCCAGTGAGTCCGTCCAAAATTTACTCCAATATTGTAAAAGAAAAAGGCTGAAAATGAAATTAATTCGACCCCAAAGATCGTAGATTTTACATATAGATGAATAAAGAGGAAAAATATCGACAGCGTAAATTTTCTGTCCGTGACTAAAAGGAAAATTATAGCATCAAGCGATTTAGAAGAGTTTAACTAACATGTAAACACGTTCTTCAAGCACGAAATGTTTTTCGCTGCTTGCAAGTGGTCAAATGACACGTTTTTCCACCAGTTAAGTGAAGGAAAATAAATGTGTTTCTGCCAATCATAAATATATGACCCACTGAGGGAGTGAAATATGAATTCTTCCTCCCCTGCGATACATTAAAAACTTGCCTCAGAGAGGCATAGTAAAGTATTTTCTGTGCATTGAAGCGAATTTTTCAACCAGACGAAATGATTTATTTCAGTTTTGACCATTGGTCTATACTTCAGTGGGTTTTATTCCTCAAAATAGTAAACACTGATCGTTCCTTTGCAATTTTAATATCTTTCAGTTTGGATGAGGAAAATCGTTTTTATTAAACGGTCAAAAAATTGGTTATGCAGATTTTTTAACGCTTGCATGCATGAGCACATCAATAAAAACAGATTTTTTTTTTTAGCTTGAATGAATTCCGACCCAATGAGTTCCAAAAATCCCACTTCTCACAACCGAATCCTAAATGGACCTTGAACATTGTACGTCAGGGATCCTTTGCCTTCTTGATGAATCAAAAATTTAGGGAATCGTGATCGTTTCAGCAGTCTGTTTGAATTTTTTTTCTTACGTTTTGATTGTGTTCTTTCTCCTCATAGGAACTACAAGCATAAACATGAGCATTCCCACCACCACAAGCATAAACACGAACACAACCACAAGCACAAGAATTCGCATGTGCACAACCACGATCATCAGCACAAGGAGTACCACAACCACGGGCATCAACATGATCAAAAGCACAATCATGATCACGGCCATTACCATAAGCACGACGAGAAGCACAAGCACGATCACGGACACAATCACAAACACGGGCACCAGCATGGACACAAACACCATGAGAAACACACTCATCAATACCCGAAAAAGGAATACCAACCGGCCAGCTACGAACCATCGTCTTCATCCTCATCCGGCGACTTTTGAATCCATCAGTTAACGATTGGATGAAACGAATCCTGTTGACCGAGCGTGATCTTCAAAAATTGGATTTGGCAAAAATGACGAAAACCGGGAGGAAACGTGTCACATCCAAACAAAATAACTCGGGAATCCGGAATATTTATTTATGTATACTTTTGCAGCTGATGACGGACACTCGTTTGTCAATAAATGCATTTATGTTTCAAACCTCAACTTGCGATGCTGTGATTTTAAACGTCAGTCCAAAAATTATATACATCCCAGCAAAACGCCAAGGCGTTAATGATACAACATTACGCAAAGATTACCTGTTACTCCGGCGCGATAATGAACGCGTGTCAACCAAAATGACTGAAAGTTGCTCAAATAATGCATGAGAAGGATATCAAATAACTGACATATGACGGAATGAGAATATTGTCCTACTAAGTAATTTTCGAGACAAATCGTTCTTTTATTGACTGGGTTTTAAAAGGAAAAAAAAAACGATCATTCCCATGATTAAATTCACAGTGCGGAACATTTTCGTGAGCCTTTTTTTCGTGCATATTTATGGATGCATAAAATCTCCACTGGGAAGCCATAAAGCAATTTTCTTTTTTAATCGAAAAAGTATATAATGCTTTATAAGTGGCTTCATGAGGATAATTACGGGATGCATTATCTGGAAATATTTTGAATTTATTATTTATGAGATATAAACAAGGGCTTGCAATTTTTGACATATCTCCATTTGCACCAATGAAGAGCAAGACATTATACTCAAGCGAGTTTTTGCTTCTACAGTATTTTATTAGGAACAGCTATCCTCAAGTGAGAAAATAATTTAGGTTTTTGTATTGATAAACTTCAATTTCATTTTGATCCATTTTCAGCTTTAAATATAATTATTAATTTTTCATTATTACTTTTTTGTATGAAAAAGTAATGAAGAAACATTAATAATTATATTTAAAGCTGAAAATGGATTTATGCTCTCAAAATGCATTCCCAACTTTTACATAAGTCAAGATTTTTTGTCTTTTTCAAGAAAGAGTACATTTGGACGTTAATTGATGCTGACTCAAACTTCGACCGCTACTTAAGTCCCTGAATTGCAATGTTCTCGAGTATCTTCCTAAATTTTTTTGAAAACAATGTACTAGTACAGTAATAAAAATAACTCAAAGCCTTTCTCCCTTGAATCTCTATGATAAACATTTCTGGATGCCATTGAGTTATAGTCTACGGACTGCACTAGGAATAAGAGAGGAGAAATGCGTAAGAATGTAACTTGATGCTTTTCAGAAGGAATAAGTGACTATAGAAAAATCGTCTTCATTCGATTCTTGTTGGCCCCTCGTACTTTGACTTGAAAATCTCAAGATTCGACAGTTTTTGCATAATTATATTCAAAGGATGATCGACAAATTTATTCGTCACAAAGAAAATTTCATAGCAGAAGATCGGCTATTAATGGATTGTTTGTCGGAGTCAGAATGTACAATTCTTTGAAGAAGATATTCATTCCGGTAAAGGCACAATCGTTTTGAACAACGTTCACGCGTGTAAATGTTTGCGTAGTTTACACAAGAAAGCTCATCAGCAGTCTAATTCTTTAAATTGAAGACCTCATCGTTTCAGTCAGAAAATACCGTACAGGAACTGATCATCAATTTCAAATTACAGCCGAGAAATCCATTGTAGAATCATAAGCTTTCGACCATTATTCACAAACTCATTCATTCACGATCCCTGTTGTTCGAAAAAGTAATCTGCTCCATTTTTTTATGTACTGCATCTTGATTTAAAAAACTAAAAAAGAAGTTTACGATCATGAAAAAAGATTTTCTTCCGAACGTGTGATGACTTCATTTCTCAACGAAGAGAGGACTGACAGCCATGGAACCACGCGTCAACACTTTTTTTTTTTTCGGAGCTTCACAGCGGAGTAACCAACTACAAGGCCGAAAATGGAACTGAGCCCAATAATTAGTTCAAGCAAGCAACATCAAGGATCAACACTGATGTTTCACAGGCTGTAAATTTCCTTGCGACCCTGCGGTTAGAATAAATGATTGACCGGAAGGACGCCGACATATTTTTTTTCTCTAATTTCAGACTGTGATTCCCCTCCTTTGATTCATTCCCACCATGACGCAAACGGAACTTGGCACAAAAAAAAAATAATTGGGTGATGAGAGCTTCGCGATTTCTTGTGAAATTCATCTCGTATTTCAAATACTGTATTTCCCGAACTATGTGTAGTTTCATAAGTAAAGTGGATGTTTATTCTCGTTTAATTTGGTATAAATATTCTTAAAAGCAAAAATATTACGATATATGTGGACTATCTTTCTCTGCAACGGAGTTATCGAGGGCAGAGAGAGAGAGAGAGAGAGAGAGAGAGAGTCCACCTGTGTATATGAAATATGTATACGTTTGTTTGTCAAAAAAGCATAATAGGACAATTTTTCCAGCATCATTCCAACAAACACGATTCGTACTAAGTAAAGGAAAAGAGATAAATTTGACATGAGATATATGAAAATGAAGAAGTTTTGGCATACTCACAAAATCTTTACTGCTTTAATTGTTGAAGAAAGTATTCCTCAAATATTCGCATTGTCAAAATGGGCCTCTTGATGTGATTTCCTAACCTTTGATTTCCCAAGCGTCGAACAATAAACTGCTGGGAGAATGTCAGCATTTCTGCCCCTGTTTCTTCTTTCAAACTTCTCGCCACAGATTTCAAAAAAGTATGAAAAAAAAAAAAAAAAACCTCGGTCAGAATTCCTGCGGAGAACAGATGCCGTTTCAAGCAGCGAAATTCCGACCGCAAGGACTCTAGATGTGGGCATCATTCAGAAATGAAAACGAAAATCTTTTCGTCACGCAAAGCTCGGCTTTTATTGGTGCATTCGTGTCAGAAAAATTTGCTTTGCGAGTGTGCGAATTACCGTGACGGCGGTGCCAAGGACAAAGAAATAACATAACAGTCGTACATTTTGATATGGTCGTTTTATGATAACTTTTGAATATGTTGTCCCGGAAAATTCGCCGTAAAATATGTCAGAGTTTTGAAGTGCGCTCTAAAGACTCGTTGAATTGCTGACACAACTGTCCGATGATCCCGACTTTCCCAGCTTCCGGACCGACGGAAAATATTTGCCCCGTTTTGGATCCTCTCCTGAAGAAGAAATTTCAGTTAATTAAATTGCAGAACCCTCAACATTTTTCCGAAGTTTCATCGCAGTTAAATAGTGCGAACGTTAATTATGACGCATGTTTCGAAGAAAGTGTGGGCAGTGAAAGGATTTAAAATTTTTCGATTTAATTTCAACGAGTGTTTTCCGGCCGGAGAAGAAAAAAAACATTTTAATCCTTCTTAAGGAAAATCACAGTGGAATTCATTTAAATTTTTTGAGGATGAAACAAATCTTCCGCATTATTTCTTTAATTTAAAAACCCCAAAACCCATGAGGAGTTTTAGTTCCGAAAATAAAAAGAGTTTCCTTTATTGTTTCATGCCGAATATACACCTGAGGTAGTCTAAATAAAATACGTCAGGAATTTATCTTCATCTGCTTCCAAAGCTCACCATTATTGTCCTTCGTCAAAAAGTCATAATTAAATGATCGTAACCCCAGGAAATATTTCATTTTTGCTGGTTTTTGCGATAACTGGAAAATCCCTCTTTTTATTTCTTACCTGGACCGAGATTCTTCGTGTCGGATGAACAACCGCGAAACGTTCAGGCTCATGTTCGGCTTGAAATGAATTTTCATCGGGTCCCTGAATTTGTCTGGGTCCCAAACGCATCCGAACAAAGAATCGGTTTCACGTTGAATTGATTCATAGTCCTGTCTTTCCAGTGCAATCCAAACCGTGATCGACAAAAATCGGATGTAATATTCAAATAAGAAATCGTATTGGTTTTTCGGCAAACTGCCCTTCGCCAATTTCTCCGTTGCTATGACGTATAAAGCTCCGGTGGCAAGTATTTTCCGGTAATCCTCTGGCAACCATTCGAAATGAAAAGAAAATACCGTAAATTCCTAGAATAATGAAGAAATCGCGTCGTTATTACCTGACGCCATTTGAAGGGCTGATTCTAAAGTTGGTTTTAGTTCGTTGAGTTGACGCTCAAATGTGCGCTTGTCCTCGCCGCGCTTTTTGAGCAGAGTATTCAATTTTTCTTTGCAATTCCTGTAATGCTGATCTTTGTTGTGTCCCCCGACCATCATGGCATATGCTTTCAAGACCAAATATGACCTAAAAAGAAATCGATGAGAAAGACGACTTTCCATGTTTTTAAAATGAAGTGCGACTCATCCTTGTCAATAGGCATTCAATGGGAAGGGGTAAAAATAAATTGGTAATCGCTGATTTTAAAATCTTTTTGCTCAAGATATGAATAATTCTAGGTCGGTGAAATTAATTTATGAAAGATTGAAAAATAATAATACAAATACTGATACTGTATACATTTTTCAGAAAAGGTATAACTACTCGTATTTCACAAACTGTTCGAAAAAACCGGACAACTCTGGCATGTTGATGAAGGATAAATACGTATACAGTATAGGCCAATTCAGAAGTTACACGAAATGACAAGTTGAAAACTCAATTTCATGCTGATCTCACTTTTCAAAAATTTCGTCCAAAGTTCCGAATGTATCCTCCGAAAAGGGATACAAATATTTTGTGGACTCGTAAATTTCCGCCTGGTCCCTTAGTTTGTTCAACGTCTTCAATTGCGAATTTCCCGCTTGTTTCGGCCATTGCAAGGCGAGAAAACTTGTGACTATGTCGAAAAATGAGTCAATGTGTGTGGTTTCTCTCTCAAATCGAAACCTGCGTTTGTATACGACTCCCCGTTGATAGAATTGAAAGTAATTGATGAGCGAGAGCAGCAGCTTGTCCGACGCTTCCATATCCACCAATTTCCTGGGGAACACCGAGTAATTGAATAAAATATATCATTTTCAATTGTCTGCTTACATGGGCAGGAAAAAAATTACAATCGCTACTCACAATTAAGGCACTTGAATTGAAAGAACATCTTCAAGTAATCCGGAAATTGGTTTTATATTACAGCTCTTGGGATAATTATACTGTATCGTAATTCAAGGTAGTGAAGAAAAAAGGATTATGCCACGTTCATGGATGGATTGAAAGCACTGTCCTCATTCGAATTTAACTAAAATGAAGATCATCCTCGCATTTGACCCGCATTAATATGAGAGCATATATGATCTCATATTAAAGCGGGTCGAAGGAACCCGAAAAGGGATCGCTTTTTTACGGTGAAGACATCTGTCCCAATGAACCCAAGACTTGAAATATAGATTCATTCTTCGATAACAGCGATTTTATTTCTGAAACCAATTTTTTCTTCAGTGCATGATTACTTCGGGACACACAATTTTTCTTCGGATTCTTGAGAGAAAAGTGAACCGGAGCAAGTTTCGAAAGGGCATGGTCATGATATTGCTGAACTAGATGATACGGAAAATAGGTTCTCCAAGAGTACGTTTCCGGCGTAATTTTTACTAATTTTTTTTTTAAATTAGCAATGATAAATGGTCCTCTCAAAACGTATGATCCAATGTATCATGCAGAAACCATATACATAGTTGAACCTGGATAACTTGAACCTCCTTAAGTCAAATACTGTATCTCCAACCATGCATTGTTTTTTGCAAATCAATGTCTGAACACCCTTAAAATCACTAAATCAAAAAACTTCCTATAACTGAAAGGCTTTCCCCTAAAACCTCCATAAGTCAAAGTTTTTGGAGGCCTTTGACTATCACAGTATTTCATTGGCACAGTAAAGAGAAAATCAGCATAATATTAGTTTTGAAAGGAAGTGAAAGATCAATTTTGTAAATAAATCCTAGCCTCCAAGTTCAGCAACTTATTGTCAACTCGTAAAAAAAAAGCCATCTGAATCCCAGAATATATTTTTGATTCTTTCCCCTCAAAAACCTCGCCAATGACTCAAACTGTTTTGCTAGTCCCTTGAAGCTCAATTTACAGAGGTTAAACTGCGGGTGCATTTGCATCCGACCTTGACGTATACTAAACTCACTCGCAAAAACATTTCTTGCAAAAAATTTGATTTGCCATCACCTGACGATGACGGACGAAACCCACAAAAACATTACGCGGTAATTCCCTTCATCATCCGTTAATTGCTGCTCTTCGATTAAAAAAAAATATATATATACAGTATACTGTATAAAATAGTTTCCACTTGAATGCGCATTATTACGCATCATATATCAATATGTACAGAACTAGAAATTCGACCGGTGTTGAAAATGTCCGCAGAGGACATCAGGAGCTTTTGAACAATTTACAAAATCACCTCATCCCGTGCCTCGTCACTTGTTGCAAGTCACCACCATCAGCGAGTTCCAGGAGCGCAACGGCTTTGACGTCTTGCAAGGTTACGACTCCCCTGCGTCTAATGGCACGGTTGGAAATGGCGGGATCTTGCGCAGCGCCGCTCGTCGAGATTTTCTTGAGCATCTCCTCTTTCCTCCTGAACTTGAGAGAGGATGAGGGCAGACCAGCGGATCGCTGCTGCTGCTGCTGCTGCTGCTGCTGCTGCAATTGCGACGGTCTGCTGGTCGATGGCATGTCCCAAGCGACGAGATGATGATCACTTTTGGCAGATAATTTGGAGAAAATATGTTCAGTGAAATTCCGTTATTACAACGAATTTTTCGTGAAAACGATTCTTTGTCTTTGGTTTCTCAATGCAGGTGGAACCTCGCAATTCGACGCTGATCCGTTGCTGGACTATAGGGGCAAATTGCAAATTGGTCAAATCGCAAGACACTCTGTAGAATTTAAATATTGTTATCCTTATTTTCATAGAATTGTAAGATTCGGTGAGTCTTAAATAAATTCTTACTATTACGTCTAACAGCAAGTTTATTACCAACCTTGACCCTTAGGACAACAATATTCTATCCTGGTCTTTAAGGTGTGTCTTCCTCATACTTTGCGGGCCAAATGTTTTTTAGAAGTTCAATGAAAAGTAAACGCCAGGATCTCCCGTAGAGAGGCAGTGATAAGGTGTATTTTCAGTGCATACACAACAGTCAGTTGCAAAAGCTCAGGCACAAATGCTAGCAAGTACAGCGTTGCATTGTAGTTTAAAGAGCCGGTGGTCAGCCAGCAGGTTGCTCAACTCGTTGGCTGACCCAAAAATAATACAACATACATAGACGCAGTAAAAAGGAAACAGCAATGAACTTTCCTGTTGGCCGCAATTCAACTACTTTAGATTGAACCCTTTTTGGAGGGGAAATGAAAGAGGAAAACGCATGGGGAAAAACACGTAAGGCATGCGTCACGTGCAGCCTAGGAAAATAATATTTGATCAATGATATGTTTAAAAACGCAAAAAAGTGGCCAAAGCAGGTCAGATTGCAGGGCAAGGGTTGAATTGCAAGTCAACCTCCCTGCAAATTCAACCGTCAAATTGTGGGATAATTGAATTGAAAGGTATCACCTGCATACAGGGAGTTAGGGATAAGGTTCTACACATTTTTTTTTTGCAGTTGAACCTCGACAACTCAAGGCTCCGCCTAAGTATGACAAATATTGTACCTCATCTGTAGCTGTATGTAGAAATTGTTTCAAGTCCTTGTCTGAATTCCCTTCAAGACAAAGCAATAAAAACCCATATAATTCAACTTGATGTGCTGTGAAAGGAACTGAAAGACTGATTGAGCAAATGAAACTCGTGCCTCCAATAAGTTCAGCAGTCAAATATTTTGAAAAGCAATTCTGGAACAGTTTTAAAGATTCGAAACCTTCAGCATAGCTCGAATGTTTCGGCTGAACCCTTGAAGTTCAACAAAGAGGTTCAACTTTAACCAAGTAATTTTTCTCTGTAATCTCATGCAGTATAACGGATTTTTTCCATGATTATGTGTGTTGCATAGGCCATGACGAATTCTTTTACCAAGTGGCACAATATTGTCGACACAAAATGTGCATTATACAGTATAATTGAAAAACCTTCAAACATGTAAATGCTAAACTTTTTGTACAAAAAATTCAGCAATGCAGGAATAACGAAGCTCTCTAACGAGAATTTATCTACCTTTCTTTTAAAATTAAAAAACGGTTACTTTTTTCATGTATGTTTGAAGGGGGAAACTGCTCTATTTCAAGGGATGCTAAATTTTAATGAATAAACGCTCTTCTTACGCATGCATTTTTGGTTTGTTTCAGATTGTACTTGGTAACATCAGCATGTTACAGTAATAGGAAACGTAACAAAGGGAAGGTCTGAATGAAGAGGCTTGTATTTTATATTTTGAGTTTTCTGCAGTATTTTCTCTAAAAATTGTAAATAAGTCACAAATCTGTTCAAGCATTTTTACCTGCTTCTCATAAAATGTCAGTCCAACACGCTCGAAAAACTAAGAATCTGATGGTAAGAATTTTCTGATTTTCTGTTACCACATTTTTTATCAGGTTTCACGAGAGTTCGTTGTAATGAGATTTGTTTACTGCATATATAAAAAATATTATGATTTTACGTTCCCGAAGAGAGAAACCTGAATGCATGAGCAACATAGAAAAGTCTCCCGCCTTGGAAAATTCGAAAGTGCATCGCAAATCATATACAGTATTGCGGTTAATGAAAGACTTCGTTGCGCCCATCAGTGTATTTCAATTTAACACAATCAACGGGCATTAAAAATATTATGTTGTATTGCATTCTGTGGAAACGAAAGAAAATTTTTAGTCACGTGCTAAGTTTGATCCAGATTTTCCAGTGTCATCCCTTCATCACTATTTCTTTGGAGAATCGTTATAGATTTACTTTCAAAAATGCTTAGACAAAAAAAAATGCTTTGATGTTACATCATGCAAGGATTTTTTGGGGGAACTTTTGGAAATATTCCCCCTTCATCACATATCTTGCCAGTTATGCTGGCTGACTTGCGGGACAATTTTTCCCAGGTGCTCGTATAACTTTCATGACAGAAATTATACTTATTGGGACACTAAAATGCTTTCGGTCATTACACCGGGAGACTTTTTTTTTTTTAGACGGTGAAGTTTAATATACGCTCTTGAAAGAAATGAAAAATACACGAAAGTACTTGAATGCAATGGCCTTCAGGATGCAGTGGACAGAGATTATTATGGTACTGGACGTGACGAGGCCATTTATTATTCCATGCAATAGGGTGCACTTTTTTCTGGAAACAAGACTGCAAGTGAAGCGGATTGCACGAAAATTGCCTCTCAATTGCGCTTCTGTCGCAAGCAAACACCTTCGACGTCTGTTTTCGATCCGGATCATATAGCGATACAGTATATATCCAACATTTGAAATATATATGAGCTCCGGAATGAGCACTTACGTGTAAAAAGTGATTGTCTTTGACTCATGGTCCCAAACCCAAGCGCCAGTTTCAAGTCCGTATTCCCTTTTCAGCCTTGTGCATTTTGATGCTTGGCTTGATGCATGACTCAAGGCTTTTGACAGTCGACGAGGTGTCGTAAATCTACTCACTGCAAACACCACGAAATCATTGATAGACTTGATCAGTGTTTTATGCCCCAAAAGTCAAGATAACCTCGTATTTATTTCCGTAGCACCGAAGTACAGTATTGCTCAGCAAATAAATTGTCTGTTTTGACTTTTTTTTTTGCGAAAGTTCATAATCCAGTAATTCAGATACTTCTTGTTTTTTTATTGTTTGAAATAATATGACAGCTTTGAACTAGGTCCATGCAAGTAGTGATTTCAAATATTGTATATATTTCTTTGGAAATTGCGTTGTAATTGTCTTATATAAATTATAGTGAGGCCGGACATGCGAACACTTGATAACTCTAAGAATCTCTCTTTATAACACCGCCCAGGCAATGCCATGAGATACAGACACTTCATCGACATTTCTGAACAAACGGAACATTTTTATTTTTCAAAATGTTATACAGTATCTTGAACAAGTTAAGCTTTTTATGTTAAAAAATATTTTTAAAATCATTATACATTCACGATGATGCATGATGCAAATAGGCCCAACTTTTCGCTTGGTTTATTCAGAGTTCTTTCCATCATCTCAGCACAGTATAAAATGTAGGAATAAGACTATTCTGTGTGTGTGTTTTTTTTTTTTTTCTTTTTGGGCTCCTTTTCATACCAAAAGATCATATTCTGTGTTGTCTTCTTCTACAACTGTCATTTTCTGCATAACCTTGCTGCTGAGAAAAATTGTTTTATTCAAAATCTTGTGGCATTTTCTAATTTTTTTTAGCAGAAGAACTAATTTATTATATCCTCCCTTGAAGTCCAAGGGAAGATCTGATTCAACATGCAGATGTTTTGCCATACTATATGTCAATGACTAATATTATGTCCGCATCTCATCGGGGCCCCACTGTACAGTATTATTTTCATGTCAAGGCAGAAATTAATATAGTACAAGTTCCAGCAGCAATAATCCATCTCGGATTATAGTATTTGCAGTCTGTATAGCGAATTATCCTTTATTGAATTCATCTTTGAGACCGGGACATATAATTGTAAGGTAATCTTTGATTACAATTATAATTGAAGATTACCCTTCAATTATAAATTATATAGGCACTGACTCAGCATATATATATATATATGTATATATATATATACGATTATTGCATGCAATATTAATCCTCATGTACATTTTATTTTTTATTGCTGGGAAATTTCCATCTTCAAGCTTTTTTTTATTTTTGAGAATATATACGCAGATGTTAAGGAAACATTTGAACAGCTCAAAACAAGTGAGATTAGAATATATGTCTAACCTGTTTCTGAATTATGAGCACTGCTGCATTGACTGCGGCTTGGAGATGGAGATTCATTGGAATTGCTCCTTTGCCACCCGTTTTCCTTTGATCCTTCTGAAGCAGGGAGCTTCAGGGTCTGCAGTTTTGATTTCAGAGTTTTCAGAAGTTCCTTTGACATTTTGCGCTCCACTCAATAACGGGGATATTCCAGCGAATATAATCTGTAGTATGGCGAGCACCGAGGTAAGTACGGTACACAAAGTATGTCACATCACTGTCAGCTCAGCCTTCGTTATTACGAGGAAAGTTCGCTCATGAAGATTGTTGTATCGCGTAATGCAACAATCGAGATCTTGCTTGCTGGCACAAGTAACTTCGCTGATGCAATTCAAGACCAAGAACTTCTTCGCCAGGGCCCAATGGTGTAATTAGAATAATAATGCACTGAGCTGTACTTTACGAAGTACTGTACTTTATAATGTACTGTATGCCATTCATGCCTGGGAAGGAATGAACTCTGTGTAATGCTCAGGAGAGAATCTGCAATATGGCGATTTATTATTTCCCCCTGAAATTGCGTCTCCCGAAGCACGCGGGTTTAGGGAGGCAATTTCTTATCAGGTGAGAGGAATTTAAGTCCGTGTCAGACGTGTTTGTTTGTGTCCAAGTGAACTTCCTGGATCCAAATGTTGAAACTGTGATGTTAACAATTTTCGTATGGGTTTGATGATCATGCTTACGTTCACATAGTGGACCGGTGATAACTTATTTTGTACAAGTGCCGATTGAAACTCATAATCCCGAAATAGTGCCCCTTGAATTTTTGAGTTCTTGCCCTTCAGGCGTTCTTGTTTGGGATTTGTGTATTTCACGAACTTACTATGGCTGGAGTTATAGAATGAGGAAGTGCTCGGATGTGTGATGTTTTTATTGCACGCAATATTCTGAGTGCTTTCAGGTGGGTGAATCTGTCTCGTTCGTATATTTGCAGGCATATGGCGGACATTTTGGGGTACATTCTCTCAGTTGAAGCAGAGGAAGTGCATTTATGATTAATTGTTGAGTTTTCTATCCGTCGAGTATTATTGTGAATCACTGGTCTTTTGCCATTTTTTTTTTCTGCACGAATCTTCGGTTCCATTTTCTGAGGAGTACTCTCAAATATTTCCGGTTTGTGAATTTGATGGGATTGCAAATGGTCTTGATTTCTGCTCCAAAAAGATTGAAAGTTATCATGTAGTTAGACCTCTCAACTACGCTTACCCAGTCACCAAGACGCATCAGATTGCACTACATTTTGATTTTCTTGAAACCTTTCGAAAAACTTCATTCATTTTGAACTGGCTACTAGTGATGTCCAATTGCAAACCGTTCCGCAGGATTGGATGTAGAGTAACTGCCGTTCAACGAAGATGTCTTACGCCATCAAGCCGTTTTATTGATCAAACAGAAGGTTCGATTCTCACCTGACGAAAGACTCAGAAGGATTTATTTCCCCTCCTTGTGTGACGCATGTACAAATAAAACCCTTAGCTTGATGACTGTTGGAACCAGTTTCTTGCGCTTCTCGTTCCGCATCAGTTGTTCGTCAAACGTGATGTCTTCAACTACTTCGACCTTAGATTACCTTGCAGTTGAGGTTTTCGGCGCTAGTTTCAGTTCCTGCTACTCCGTAGTTTATAGGGCGCCGCCATGACAGTGTGTGTTGCGACATCTGACGGCAGCGTAGTACAGTAATAAAATCAACTTTTGGAAGGATCATGGGGAGTGCAGCAGATTTTCCTTAGGCTATTTATTCAACAAGACCGCTCTTCACTCATAAGTCTTAGGAAGTTCATGGGAATTGTGTGGGGCTTTAAAAAATGAAGGAACAGTCGATGAAGGAAAATGAAGGAACATTCCCTCCTTTTTTGGTAGCCTTCCTCTCGAATATGGAATATATCTTTGTTGCAGTGTTCATTTTAACGTAAGCCTCTTATTTCGTTCTTCGCAGTTGAGTCCTAGATATTGGTTTAGCCTGATTTGCAGAGTTTTGGTATGCTTGCACGGTAGCACCTTTTCTGCAGGTGTGCGACAAGCTTCCATGATTATGCTTATTCATCATTTAATGTGGATCTTTTGTTTTGTTTAAGAGGAATGCATCAACTTTTTAAAAACCATTAGATCAGAAACAGGGACAGAGATGGATTTTATATTCCGTTTCGCTTTTAAACATTATATCGAAATAGAGACGGAGTGTGTTCAATTTTCGGTGTACAAAAGTGAAATCTTGATCTATTCATGCTTTACCAAGACGTTGCTCTTTTTTTTGCAGAGTTTTTTAGAATGTTTGACGTGGATTAATCTCATGTCTCTGCGCCATGACTGTTGAAAATTTTTCTGGGCTCTTTTTTTCTGAATTTATTATGATCAATGTTTTAAAATACCAACATCAATTCAGAAATTTAGAATTTCTAAAACTGAATGAGAGTTTCACCCTTAAAACTCCCACCACAGTCTGAGCAAGTATTGCTGAACACATGTGAAGAACGAGACAGAGGTGATGTTCAAGATGAACACCACTGTACTTGACATTTTACTATCACTGCTGGTGGACTGAGACACGGTCTTACCTTTCTTGATCCTTGTTTTAAATCTTTGCACTGTTCCTAGGTACCTAATGAGGCTGAAGAGATGGCTTGCTCTCCGGTTGAATATAATTTTCCCAACAGATCTTGACTATACAGGTCAATTTTGAGTCCATGCTCAACCATAGGTTCATATAGCTGACTTTAGATGTCTCTTTTGCAGTACAATTCTATTAGTTGCAAATGGTCATGTCTTGAAATTTGCATTGTCATTTGTGTTTGGGAAGAAGTATGTACTGTCTTGTAAATAAATATTTATGATTGAATTGTCATCATTCTTGGTTATCATTGCTTCGGGTGTTGCGTGTTGGTAAATTTGAATTGCTGCTTTTGAGGAACGTTATGGAATCCTGATTTCTGGTGGTTGTTCTCATTGGGTGGAACAGTTCAAATTCAGACGCTTTTTTTTTTTCGGTTCACAAGGGATTTTAGAAAAGTAATCAATTGTTGGAATTTACCGATGCTTCGCTATGTAATCGTGGATGGGCCAATTTTCAAACTCACTGAACAGGATCCTACAAGTGGAGATTTTTTGCATGCCGTGATGTTCAGCTTGTGGCTTACCACATGACCCAATTTTCAATGTGGAAACTTCTGGCATGCTAAAAGCTCGATGATCTTTCTTTTCTGCTGCGCGTCGAGAGTATCTTGTGCAGAAATTCAAAGTATTCTGGTAATGCTTAGAATATTCATTCCCTGTACAGTCTTCCGAATCGTGCGCATATGCAATCGATGATTTTCTCGGAACCAGTGTATCGCTGTAATTTCTATAAATATTTTGTAGGTATCTCGCATAACACTTCTTCACCTAGAAATATTCAACGTTTTGCGATGAATTTAATTTGAATATTTGTTCCGTGAACGCTTGAGTAACTATGGTAGCGGATTCAAGTCGCAGTCAACCGATCTGCTTCCTCTTCCGGCGTTTCTACTCTTCGTTGAATATACTGCATCATTTTGATACGCGGCTTTGATTCAGTAAAGGAATCACGAGAATAGTAGTAACTTCGACTCAGCAATCACACCACAATGTCCGGTTTATGACGTCAGAGTCCATCAACACCAACGCAGTGTAAAATATAAAAGATGTCAAGTGCTTCATTCAAAGGTTGAGATAGTAAGGTGTTACAGAACCCCGGAAAACTTAATTAGATCGAACGGAATCTCTAGCTCCCGGCTCCGTCCGTCCAGTCCAATCGCTCCGCTCTCGTCTTCCCCCAGCTGAACCTAATGGGGATGTTAGAACAAACGGTGTGCATTCCATGCTGCTCGGTAGGTGTTGCTAATGCTGTATGAGCGAAGCCCTTACTATGTACTAACCCGGACATGAGTACAGTACTGTAACTATTCTTCTGTTTTCCGGTTAATGAGGAATCCTTCTTGTGCTGACGAGTCTAAGTCGTTTCATTCACTATGGAGTAAATGTAGTTAATATTGGAAAAACAATCCGACGAAAACTGCAGCCTGAGTTCCTGACACGCAGTTTTAAAATTTATGTAAGGTACTGTACTTACTTGGAGAAACGGTTGTAAGAAATTACTTGTCTGCCTTCTCTGTCCGTACGCCGTCTCAATAAATTAAATGTTGTATCGGGTACAAGTCTAAATTTAAGTGAACTTTCTTATTCCATATTATTAATTCCAATCGAACTTCCGTACGATTTTGCATCTGCACTGCAAAACTGAGCATATACTGTACTGTACTGTATATGTTCATTTAACTCGATTTCTTGGATGTGTTGACGCGTTCAAACGCGTCAACACGTTCAAACGCGTCAACACGGAAATGACGCACGGTATTTTGTGATGACCGTTATAGAGTTAAAATGCTTTTTAAAAATATTATGAGTTCACGGTTTAATACGTTTGAATACTGAATATTCATAGAATGATCGAGAATCTCCCAAGCTCAGTCTGTGACTCTTGAAGCTTTCTGCGACGAATGGCAGATAAACAGGCGAGAAATTTACTCACTGCGGGACAGAGAGATAAAACTTTCTATTTGTACCGATCTGCATCCAGTGACGATGGGGATCCAGATTTGGAACCGACTGCTGACGGTATTACCAAGTCCGAAATGAAAAAGGAATCACGGTCGGGAAACAATGGAGCCGTGAGTATTCGTGCGTAAATATAAATCCTTGCACTCTAACTCCGTTCCCGACTTCTTCGAATTAGTTTCTCAAAGTGGCTTCCCCAACGAAGACCGCGAGCTCGGGCTCGCTCGCCGCTGCTATAGAGCAAGCCGTGCTTGCAGAAGCAGAGGCCTATGACACTGTGGATGAGAATTTTGTCTCACAGATTTCCATAGACCCATTCAGCGTGCCAAAAATTCTGTGTCGAAATGAAAGCTACGAGATTTTGCAGCAGCGAGGATCGAAGTCCAACGAGTCTCGTGTGCTTGTCTTGTACACTGGTGGTACCATCGGAATGATTAAGAATGAACAGGGTGGTGAGTCGGTCTTTTAATTTCTTGATCATTTGTTTCGGATTTCGTGGAAACACCATGTGTAGAATGCCTTCCCAGCAACATTCTTCTCGCAAATTTTTTTGTTTGTTTTGTTGGACCTATCACTAATCTTCGAGTCGCTTCAGATGATGGTAGTTTCCCTAAATATGATTGTAGAAATACTGTACGTGTACGAGGGACGATGAGGATTCGCGTGCCTCGCAAGTCGATCTTCGTTGAAGTCTCCGTCATTTTGAAGAAGAAGTATCTTCTTGGGAACTATCGATAGCTTTTATATTCTGAGATTCACTATAGTATAGTCGAAAGTCTGTAAACGAAAGCAATTTTCTTCAAGAGGAAATTTTGAAAATTTTGCACAATATCATTTTAAGAAAATATTTTTATTTTGAAAATTGCAACGCAGCCTTTATAAATTTTATTCCTTAAAAATGTATGATTGAGTTAGATTCTTGCGATAAAACTTTGTATGCAATCGTATAATACTGATTTCTCAGTAAATCAAGCCCTGGAAGACTCATTTTTGATGGCACACGCAGCTGCGCTGAACCCGATCATCTCCAAATGATTCAGCTGTATTTTGTCTGGTAAAGCTTGGCTGAATTCCAGAATCTATGTGTGATTGGCTTAGTTTTTCAAAAATTGGAGGAGCTCTCCCAACTGTTCTGTACAGAACACGCATTTAAAAAAATCCTGGATCTTCATTTTTCTCATTTGTTACCACTAGAAAGTAGGAAGAATGTTCATCGGGTATTGACACCATAATCCTTGTTGTTTCAGTTCTAGCCCCGGCTCCTCGACAGCTGGAACCACACATCAGAACGTACCCACACTTGCACGATGCAAAGTATGCCGAAGCATTTTATATGCGTGATGGAGACAGGTCAAAGAACCCGAAGCAAATTTTCACTCCTCTTGTTCTTCCGTAAGCATCTCAAGACACGATTTTTAAATTGTACTTCTTTCGTACCAGTGTGCATGGTTCAAGTGAAAGAAAAACCAAAACCTCCCTTCCTTCCTGAATTTGAAGAATTTTCTTTTGAATTCAACAGGGAAACCAGAGAGGCGAAAAGGGTCATTTACACAGTTTTTGAATACGAACCCCTTCTAGACTCCTCAAATATGACAATGGATGATTACGTTCGAATTGCGGAAGACATAAAGACGGCTTACCATTTGTTCGACGGATTTTTGATTCTTCATGGAACAGACACTCTTGCTTACACAGCCTCTGCATTGTCATTCATGCTGGAAAATCTGGGGAAGAGCGTTATTCTCACTGGTTCACAGGTGTGTAGGTCTTCTACGATCGTCAGATGTTGAATTATTTTAGCCGGAATCAAAGGAATGCTTTGCTAAGTATGTGCCAATTTTGACGTGTTCGTGAGATATTTTAGACTTTTTCTATCGTCTGTAAGCTGTAACTTGCATGAATGTGGGTTCACTTTTCAGATCCCGCTGTTCGAAACTTTGAGTGACGGAAGAGACAACTTCATTGGTGCTTTGGTAATGGCTGGAAACTACAATATACCCGAGGTCACCGTATTTTTCAATCATAAACTGCTGCGAGGAAATCGAACAACAAAAATCTCGACTTCACGTTTTGATGCATTCAACTCGAACAATATGCGTCCATTGGCAACTGTGGGGATCCAAATTCATGGTTGGTTGACTTTTTTTTGGCGTTCATCATGAAAACTCATGATTGCGAGGTTTAATACTTTTTCACCAGTTCACTACAAGGATATATTCCGCCCGTTTTCCATTGAGAGGTTCAAAGTCCACCCAAGAATGAGCAACAATGTTGGCTTGCTACGCTTATTTCCGAGCATGAGTCTCGCTACGGTATTATTGCCTTCCATATGGTGGCAGAAGAAGCATTTCGTGTCATTCGAGTGTGACCTGCTTTTACATTCCAGGTCCGGTCTTTCTTGCAACCGCCTATAGAAGGAGTTGTTCTGCAGTCGTACGGAGCTGGGAACATCCCTTCAAACCGGGAAGACATCGTGGAGGAAATGAGAATCGCCATCAAAGCTCGTAATGTCCTCATTGTCAACATCAGTCAGTGCCATGAGGGCGCAGTTGATGCATCTTATGCCACGGGCAAGGTTTGTCTCTTGGATTCTACAAATATGCTGTATGGCATCTTGTGTGAAAACAAAACTTTTGGTTTGTGCGGCCATCACCCTCTTTAAGAATGTGTTCACTTTCATGAATCTTCCCGGGAACTTGTATACCATATTCAATTCAATAAAATGCTCCTCCGAGTAGAAGACGGATCATGTAAAATTTGGTGGAAAATTATCTTTAAGCTCGCTCGTGAAAAGTTTCCAAAAATTAAAACATTTCAAAAACGTCAATCAAGAAAATTACAAATTCAGGGAAAATAGAATATACATTTCTTCAAACTTTTGTTTGTTATATAGCTTGTATATTCACAACTCTTTCAGTAAGGCAGATACAGTATAATGAAAAAAGAATGATTTATTATTAGAAAATTTGCCACAAGTACTGATGAACTTGTGCCTGTCTACTTTTTGACATGCAACCCATGGTTTGTCCAAATGTTATTCTTTCAATTACGGTATCTGTGCTATATTTTAGTTTTTTCAGGTTAAAATTAGCAGGTTGCGATACATTTGGTATAATGTGCATTTAGGGAGAACACACTTGCCTATTCAATATATTTTATACGTGTTTGAAAAGAAAATATTAAAACAAAATTTAATGTGCTTCTCCATTTGATCGCAGGTGCTTCTGGATGCTGGTGTTATTCCCGGGGCTGACATGACACCTGAAGCTGCTTTATCAAAATTGAGCTATGTTCTATCAAAGGATGAATGGGACTATGACACAAAGCGTGAGGTAAATTATGAATCCTTGAAGAATGAGCCTTGCTTCGTTTCACTCTTATTCAGCTTATTTTTGAAATACACTAAAATTTCCTGTTTTCCATGTCTTCAGAAAATAATGGAGAATTTGAGAGGGGAGATGACCTTGTACAAAAAGACTGACTCAAAGAATGATCTGGACCTCATCGATGCACTGAGCAAAGCTTTGCGATTCTCTTCACACAAAGAAGTCAAACAAATGAAATCGTTCATCTTCCCTTGCTTGTTATGTATGGCTGCCAAATCCGGTGACATCAACAAAATTGATGAGCTGCTGAAGAGCGTGAGGATCAACATTTTTAATCCACCTCTTTGAGTCGTTAGGCACAAGTTTTATGTAGCATCAATGAATTCCCCGACCAATTCGGTTTTGTGAAATTGTTTATTGTGATCCTGGGTAACAGAGCCATAGCCCTATGTCGAATACAGTATTTTAAAATTTATCTTATGCATAACACATTTTATGGATTTAAGAATTTTGTCATTACGAGTGCCCAATTATTTAAGCGGTTTTCTATTTTTTTTATATTAATATAGGTTTTACCTCGCCTTTCTCATTTTTTATTCTTGAAGTCAACGTTTCCAATTTCATGCAATCATTGAATGACGTGGCTGCGTCAATGTCATGAATGAATTGTTTCTAGGGTGCTGACCTTTCTGCAGCAGACTATGATGACAGAACTGCATTACACGTAGCCTGCTGTGAAGGCAACGAAGAAATGGTCAAGTATTTATTGAAACATGGAGCGAGTGTCCACAAACGTGATCGAAACGACAGATCACCGCTAATGAACGCTATGGAGTTCGGCCAAATTAATTGCGTCAAGATGCTTCTAGAATGCGGAGCAGATGTCGCATCCAATTCTGCCAACATTTTAACCCTGGGAGACGATATTTCAAGGTGTGTTCGGCTGTATAACTCGGTGTACTGTTTCAAATTTTTGCTTTACTTTTGATCTACGGTATTTAGAAGTTCTCAATCTATATGATTCGGAAACTTATTTTTAGAGTACCGTACATAGATTTGTATGACGAGATCCTTCGGTGAATTCATTTTTCCTATGCCTTGAGTTAACAATGTAGTTTTCCCGACATGTTTTCATGGGCCGTGATATTTGAGCATGTTTCCCATAACACTTTTTTTATCCTTCGATTTCGGTCATCCTATACTCCTACCTCTTTTCTTGGAGTGGCGTCAAGGGCTCCGACGAGCTCCTGTGGGGATCTCCACAGGTGAACCCGTTAAAAGTTGAAAATCTGTCTGGGTGGACCTGTTATAGCACAGAAGAACGTCTGAAGGATTACTGGTCGTAATTTAAAAGTGCAGAACATTTTTCTCATTATTTGGTGATTCAAGTTGCATTGTTCAGTGGAGATTCTTATAAGCACTTTGCAGCGGCTGAACTAACAGCACATTTTGAAAATATTGGAAACTCTTCTGCATAATTGCTATGCCTAAGTGCTGTAATGCTCTCACTTGTTCAGCTGTCCATTCACGTGTTGAAATGTAGTACAATACCATAATTAGCTTCAAACTTCTTTTTGAAAAGTAATGAACACAGGATTGTATCGTTTCCAGGTCCGCTGCACTTGGATCAGTGAACAGTTTAAAAGCGTACAGAGAAGGTGGCATCTCCTTGTTGCTGAAGAACTTCGCTGGGAGCACTTCAGTTCATACGGTAATGATAAATTCATCTGCAGTTTTTAGTTATTCATTCATTCATTTATTTTCATTTGTACTCGTCCATGTGTAGGCGACTCTGGCCAGACAACGTGAAGCACTCGAATACATCCTTCTGACGGAGCCGAAAAGCTTTGAGGTTACCGATAATATGGGTCGCACGGCAGAAGAAATGGCAAAAGATTTTTGCTATTCCGAAATCGTGGAGATTTTCGACAAAGTCAGGTTGTTTTTAAGCGAGAAAAGTGGTGTGAAATGGACAATTTAGGGGTTGTTGTTGATTTTAAACTCTCTTCATTTGATTTCCGAACCGATGTGCAATTTGTCGTGAGTACTGTTTGGAGTTAGGCGCACCTCGATGAGTAAGCTAGTCAGCAATGGTGACTTGGTTTTGTGTAATGCGTTGATTCTCATTTACGTGCCATACACGGGATGAAAATACAATTTCTGTCAGTCAAGTTTCATTTGTGGTAGAGCTTTCTTTCACTTGATCAGATCCTTGAAAAGAGAAAACGAAGGTAAGATCTGCTGCTTTTTCAACATTATTTTGAAAAACATTCCATGCTGTGTTTTGAACGCCTCATTTTGTATACTGTGGTCTCGCGGTCCACTCGAATTTTTGAATTTTTTCTCGCAAAAAGTTCCCAACTCCTTCGAACGGCTTTAAAAGTTTCCCAGCTCTGCTTCCGCTCCGGAAAGTAAGCATGGATCGTTTCAGTCTCTTCAGAAATTTCAGCAGACCTTGTCTGCAGATGATGAAATTAATTCTACATTAGTCAAATGAATTGAATTATTTTTTGCATGAAAAGCCCTGTCGAAAAGGTCTCAAGTGCTCTAGTAATCTGATGAACTAGTTCACTATAAAATAACGAACTTCGAGATAGATACACAAATACTCTTTCAAAATTATGAAGTGGACAGAAAATGCTCCGCTCCTCCACACACCTTCCAGCCAGCTCATGGAGCTTCGTCAGAAAATGAATCCCCATAAGCAGTGCGCATCCAACTTGGGCTAGGAAAATGTTCCTCAGCAACTGCGGCAGAATTGATCCTGAAGAGTCTTTCGAGAATAATTCAATGTTCGCTTGTGTGCCATTCCTATTGAACTTGGTGGGGCAACCATGAAACCCTGGAAAATGATCTGTTGATGCGTTCGTCGGGATCTTTTCCTTTGCAGCCTGCGCTTTATTGACTTCCGCTGATTTTTTTTTCAGGAAATGTTCCCATAAGCGGAATTTGTTGTCGGCAATCTCGTCCCAGTCTCCTGACGATTCGTAGTCCATGTTCTCTTGAAGCGTTGGTACGTAAATTGATCGAGTCCATTGTGAGTGACCAACAGAATATTCCAATAGGGATTGTGGCATTTGTGCTGTGAGATTCATCGTCAGCAAGATTGGATCGACGTACTTGAATAGGAACTTCTCGGAAGGCGTCAGAAATTGCTTGGAATTGAACGGGGAGTCAATGACTGATTGCGGCGAGGAAACCTGAGATACATTCGGATGAAAGCGTATTAACATGAAGTAGGGTACCTTCGAGCAATTTCTCTGTTCTTGCGCTGGAATTCAACCAGATCAACAGAACATTGCATGACCAAGCTACCGGTTGTTGATCAAAAAATGTTGAAATCATATTTTTCTACGGTGATGCGTTTCGCACAATTGAAGATGTCGCCTTTTAAAAAATTGTTGAATTACAGTTGACTATATTGTTCGAATTATCACACATAGCCTGTATACAGTAACGGCGCATTTGGTATGCATTTTTGAGTTTAAATAATGGAAAAGGAACCACGAGATTTCTGCTGATTCAATTTTTCAGAAGTCATTACAATACTGTATAATTGATTGATTTCCGGTTTTTCAACAATGTTCAATATCGAGCGAGGTGTTCATGATGGGAAACAGTAAGGGTGCCCCCTCACATCTTCCAGCGTCATCTATCGGCCAAACCTGTAACCGACCATTCATCCCACCCATAATCGCGTTATCTCACCAATGATCGGAAGGCGCATAGCGGGGGGGTGACTTGGGAGACGGCTTGGCGTCACTTCTCTCTGAATGTTTGACTTGTGAACATCTTCTTTTATCACCTGACTGATTGATTATGACCTGGTGCTGTGAGATTATATGACGTGTTATTAGAAAACGTGCGTCGAAGTCTTACTCTGATAGACAATTCCTTATTGGGGGCTCGTAGCCACAATACAGTGATTGACGCTGCGTTTAATTCCCAAAAGAGCCGTTCTTTTGTGGGGGGGTAGAGTAAGGGTGCCCCCTCACATCTTCCAGCGTCATCTATCGGCCAGACCCGTAACCGACCATTCATCCCACCCATAATCGCGTTATCTCACCAATGATCTGAAGGCGCATAGCGGGGGGGTGACTTGGGAGATGGCTTGGCGTCACTTCGCGCTGAATGTTTGACTTGCGATCATCTCCTTTTATCACCTGACTTTAACTAATACTGGACCACGACACTCTAATATACTGCACAATAATCTTTTGCACGCAGCTTCAGAATGAGACTATCTGTTAAGGAATAACCCCCGAGCATCGGTGTTATGTCACTAGCTGCGACGCAAGACACGCCAGCACCAATATGCCACGTACTACTGAGAATTCTAAAGCTGCGGCTGCTGCTGCGAAAGATTTGGCTCCCATCCCTGAGGAGGAAGATGACAAGTTTCAGGACACCAACCCTTCTCCTCCGGAGCGTCGTTCGGAGTCACAAGCGTCAGGGGAGTCCTTGTCGAGCATCTGGGAGGCGCTACCTTTGACAACTCTCCAACGTCTGGCGGAGAAATTCCATTTGGGACATCCAGCCACCGCCGCTAAAGCGGACTATGCGGCTCAACTGGAACGTTTCCAAATTCCTCTCACCGCCATTCAGGACCTGTCACGCGGCGCCATTACGGCACCGCTCAGGGGTTTTCATTCCAATGATGACGACGTAGCCGTACCACGGTGTACTTCTCAGCGACCTCAATGGCTTCTTGACTTACAAGCACCGAATCTGCCCAAGCAACGGGCCAAAGAGGATTTTGAGGACTTCGCAACAAGACTACGCAATGCATTAGCTGTCGGGAAAATTACGGATGAACATCGGCTCTCCGCCCTCTTGGAGAACACGCTGCCCAACATCCAATCAACGGCAAATCGGATGTACAAGAGAGGTATCTTCGAGTTTGAACAACTTGTGGAAGCAGTCGCTCGCCGTCATCCGACCCCGCATTTGGATCGCCTCAAGCGTTTTCGGTCGCTCCGCCCCGAGAAAGGGGAAAGTTTCTTCAACTTTGGGGAAAGACTTCGGGAGGAATACGAAAATTATCTTCAACTTCCGCTCGACGACGTGGATGCCTGTGAACCAGTTATCCAGCATATTCTGAAGGAGCAGCTGGTGAACAGTGCGGAAACCGGCCTCAAGGACGAGTTACAGAAGAAGTGGGGCAAGAATGGCCAACTATCCTGGGACGATCTGGTGGACGTGGCGGAAGCTTACCGGCTAAACCACCCCTCAACCGCAACGGGTCAAGCCTCCGGGAAAACTGGTTCGCGACCCCGGGTGGATTTACCACCGAAACAATGGTGTGATCACCACAAGAGAACAATGCGGCACGGGCGCAAGAATGCAGGTTGCGGCTTCGGCAACAATCTTCGGACAATTCGGGTGCCAAACCGGCGACGGGGACCTTTTCATCGTCGAACTCGCGAGGAAACGACATTTCTTTGGTTGTGTGTTTTCATTGTCAAAAGACGGGTCATTACGCAAAAGATTGCCCTCAAACCCAGGGAAACGGGAAAGCGTAACAGTCAACGCGGCGCACTGTTTCGTCACATCTCTCCAAGCCGCCCCCCCACCTATTCTCCTTCAGATTTTTATTTCGGGTCATGGGTTATCAGCGCTCCTCGACACTGGCGCGTCTCATTCATTTATTTCTGACTCCGTTGTTAGCCAGTTGAATCTTTCCACAGTGTCTTTACAGACATCGGTTGGGACTGCCTTAAGCCCCGAGGCTGTGCAGGTTACGCGACTGGTCGAAACACTTTTTGATTTTCAGGGTACGCCCCACATGGGCTCCTTCTTAGTGTTACCGGGGATGAGGGAATTTCCAGTCATTCTTGGCCGAACCATCCTCTTGCAGTTACCATTAACAATAAATCTGGATGGGAAACGCATGTTCACTGGCTTTCATGAAGGAACACGGCCTCCCGCAAAGCCGTCCTTGCAGATTGGCGACGGGATTTCTTTTGTCGACAGTTCCCCACAAGAGCGAGAGGTAGTGATGCGTATTCTATGCCGTCATTCCCCACTCATGCGCCAATGGTCGGGTCGTCGCGGATTATTTGCGGATTTCGTCGTGCAAATTCCTACAGTTGAAGCATCGCCACCGGCGGCGCGCCAGTTTCGCCATTCCGTTGAGCGTAACAAGCCCTTTGCGGAAATCATTGACCTTTATTTAGAAGCAGGAATTTTAGAGCCTGCCGCTTCACCTTTTAATGCTCCAGCTTTTCTCGTTGACAAGAAGTGTCTGGATCCATCGGCTCCCGCCGAGAAACGCTTCAGGTTAGTCGAGGATTACTCCAAGCTCAACAAGCTCATCAAGCGTCTATTGATGGGATACGGCTGGCACGTTCTCGACGACCTCCGTGAGCCTGCATTGTTGGCTATGAAAACGTGGAACCTAGACGTACGGCCGATGGTAGTGGAAGGGGATCGAGTCCTCCTGTCGCAGAAGACAGCCTTCATGTCCCCAAGGGGACAGGTGCAGTATAAGGTACTTCCTTTTGGTTTGAAAACAGGTCCTGCTCTTTTTCAGCAAACGATTAACACGATCCTCAGACCGTTTCTTTTTAAGCATTGTTTAGCCTATGTAGATGATGTGATCATTTTTGGTGAGTCTTTTGAAATGTTGTGCAAAAATCTCGAGATAGTTTTACAGGCATTACAGGACGCAGGGGCGTGTATCGATATTCAGAAGTCTACCTTCCTTGCCCACAAAACACTTTTTCTCGGGTATGAGGTAGATCAGACAGGGAGCAGGCCCGCAGAGAGAAACGTCGAGGCGGTTCGCCGGTATCCAAAGCCCGACACCCGTCGACAAATGCAGCAGTTCTTGGGCCTTGCAACTTACCTGCGGGCCCACCTACCAACAAATTTTGCGGAATCGGAAAAAGTTCTTCGCCGTACAATCCCACAGAAGCCAGCAACGAAAATTGCCTGGACACCGGACGCTGAGGTAGCTTTCGAGCATATTAAATCGGTTTTAGCAGATACCGCTCGGTTAGAAAGAGTTGACCCATCGTGGCCCATCGCTGTACACTGCGACGCATCGGCAGTGTCTTTAGGTGCTGTACTAGTTCAGACTGATCCTGAAGGAAACGAGAGGGTCATTGAATACGCCAGTTGCACCCTTAAGGACGCCGAAACCAGGTACTCCAACTCCGAGCGCAAATTGTTAGCAATAGTGTGGTGTGTAACGAAGAAATTTAGACATCATTTATTGCATCGTCATTTTCGGGTGTTTACGGACCATAAGGCACTTCTAGGGAAGCTGCAGTCCGAGCGTTTAATCAGTTTACGAACCAAGCTAGCCACCTTCGATTTCGAGCTCCTACACAGATCAGGGGCGGCACTGCAAGCGCCCGATGCGCTGAGCAGAATCTCGCTCAACAATGCGTCGGCCAGGGTGCAACCGCCGGAAGCAGATCGAATAGCCCTCATCGACGCGTATCATGCCGAACTCGGGCATGCGGGTTGGAAAAAGGTCTATGCAACCATCAAACAACGTTTCATCTGGCCCAGGATGCGTCAGGATATAAGGCGGAGGATCCTCGCCTGTGAACTTTGCTTCAAGTACAATCAGCCGTCACAGACCGTCGGCGCTCACATGAGTGCAATTGAATCCAATCGACCGCGAGAAAGGTTAGTTCTTGATTTTTATGGACCTTTGCCTGAAACTGCCGAGCATTTTCGATACGCCATCATCGCCGTGGACCACTTCAGTAAGTACATGATGGCACATCCCATAGAAAAAGCAGACTCCCAAACGGTAATTCCCTTCCTTGCCAAAGTTTTCCGCCAGTACGGCCTTTTTGAAACCGTGCATACGGACTGTGACTCAGTGTTTAATGGCAAAGCGTTTAAACATTTCTTGAAAGGATACGACATTGCGCAACATATAGCGCAGGCGTCGCACCCCGAAGGTAATGGGTGTTGCGAGCGCTCAATCCAAACGCTGAGCCAGATCCAAGCGAAAGCAATTCAGGGACAGGACGAACAATGGGCTCGGCACCTTGCAGATTCAGTAAAGGCGTACAATAGCACAATACATTCCGCTACCGGTGTGACCCCGACAGAAGCAATGTTTGGCCGGCGGACAATCCTGGAGGCCGACAACACCTTTGGCGCCCCGACATTGGAGGCCAACATCTCCCAAGAAGAGTTACAACAGGAGGCCGAAAAACACTGCAAGCGTTTCATTAATCAGGTGAATACTCATAAATTACGTCATTTCAGACCAGGTGACATGATTGCAGTATACCCAAGGCTACCAACTGTGGCCAAACATGCTGCAAATCGCCGTTTTCGACCGCAGAGAATTGGACCCTTCATGGTGATATCGCAGGAAGGGCATGGAGTCTACCACGTGGGGGCAGGCCCTGACATCCGCCGGGTGAACGCGTGGGAAATCGTACCCTACCGAGGATTACCGAGAGCCCCAAACGCCGGATTTGAGAAACAGCTGGGGCTCATCGACCACTCGTCTGGTAAGGAGAACATCATAACCAAGGATGACCACCGCTATGCTCAGGATCCAGCGCGGGCGCCATCAAACCGGCAACTCAAAATGCAGGCTGAACACAACTATTGGACAGTGAAACCGCAAGATGCTAATAAGCGGAACAAGGTCCGAACATGCGTGCGGTCGCGAAATCGTCCCCAAGGGGTTCATTTTCATAATTCCCAAAAGAGCCGTTCTTTTGTGGGGGGGGAGAGTAAGGGTGCCCCCTCACATCTTCCAGCGTCATCTATCGGCCAGACCCGTAACCGACCATTCATCCCACCCATAATCGCGTTATCTCACCGATGATCTGAAGGCGCATAGCGGGGGGGGTGACTTGGGAGACGGCTTGGCGTCACTTCGCGCTGAATGTTTGACTTGTGATCATCTCCTTTTATCACCTGACTTATTGATTATGACCTGGTGCTGTGAGATTATATGACGTGTTATTAGAAAACGTGCGTCGAAGTCTTACTCTGATAGACAATTCCTTATTGTAGTGACAGTATGTGAGAGGAAAAAGTGCCTCCAGAGGCAATCTGTTCTGTGAAAATATGTTGTGTGAGAAGTCCATTGTGCAGGGGGGGGGGGCAACTGTATTTGCTTCTTTTCAGTTTGGTACTTTTCATATTTATTTCAAGAATATTTGTTTTACATGCAGCTTCATAAAATACATTTATTTGTGAATTTCTAGCCTAGGGATAAATGTAAAACTTGTTCCATCAGATTCAGAACACAGCTGAAAATTACTGAAATGAGAGGCAGTCCAAATTGATTTTTCTGAATTTATCCACTCACAGAAATCTGAAATTTTCAGAACCATGATACTGCAGTGCAAATAGGAAATTACTACACGAACTTTTTTGATGTGGTTATGCAAATTTCAAAAAGCAGTTTTATAACGTGTTGAGCAGAAGAACACATTGCAAAGGCTGTTTCATGAAGTGTAAAAATGAATACAGTTTATGTTGAACAAAAGAAAATGTATAAGGTGACAAAACTGTGCACATTTCCTTGTGCTGCAATTTTAAAGAAATGATGATAAATTAGCAAACATAATAATAATAATAAATTACTTGAGCAGTTGCCCTTGGTGAGTTGCTGCTGTTTGAGTTATTTTGGGTGGAATCTTATGTCCAAATTAGGCATCTTACAAACGTATATACCCTGTAGTTTGAGGCCCAAAACACACCAATCTTACTGTCTTGTAATCCCACATTTGTTTTCAGTAAAAAATTCTGGAATCAAGAAATCTTTGACTCTTATATTTTTTGCAGGTTCCTCTGAGTTTAAATAATTTAGAGTCATGCCCTTATATACATGCAGGCAATTTGATATAGATACATTTGTTTCCAATAAAAAGGCATAAAATAAGCCCAACATGTGGACACTGACTTGACATGCAAACATTGTATGATAAAATTGCCAATAAGTTCAAGGACAAGTGACTTCTATCAGTCTGAATTGTAAAATCAGAGCAGATATCTCCAACCCAAAGATCTATGCAAGAAACATTCTTTGGTATTTTTCCCATCATTTTCCCATCCATTCAGCTGATTAAAAAAATTACCCATAAGCATTGAGGGACTTCCTTCTCTCTTTATAACTTGAATGTTATTTTTACAGATGCTAATATTTTAATATACTGTACAGAGGTACAGTAATTAATGCTCTAAATGTTCTTATTCAGTTGAAAGATATTCACTGAATCAATTTCAATTGGCAAAAAAAAAAATTTCATGGAATTTTGATGAATATTTCTTCCATGAAATACCAATTAAACATTATATAATGAATTTATATGGGGAAATAAAATCAAGACCCAACTTAGGGTCATGTTGACTTAGGGACACTCTTGATGCACCAATTACATCTGCATTTCTGTGTCTCACTGTATCTAAATAAACAATGGTTTCCCTTCTCCTCAATCAGTTTGCGAGAAACCTCCGGAAAACCCAACAAAAGGGAAACCAGCACCAGCTGTCTACTCCTTGTCACCTAATTCTTCGGGTCCACCTTATGAGTTTGGGAGCGTGGCCCTGTTTCATTGCCCCATGGGTTTCATGTGGGTGCCAGCGCAAAACCAAACCCGGGATCCCCTGAAGCCGCTGGTCAGAAATTTCACGACTGTCGTGTCAGCTGAATGTCTCGGAACTTTAGGATGGGCCCTCTTTGACGTAACTGAATGCAATCCAATCAGTGAGTGAAAAGTTAAAATGATCGTCTTTTTTTTTTTTAATTGTTGAAGCTGCCAAAATCGACTTCAACCCATGTTACAACAGTTAAATTTCGTAGCAACGAATCTCGTGTTACGGCAAATTTTTCATTTTAACGATTTTTGTCTGGGTCTCGTCGGGAGTTTTTTTCTCATGGAACAACGAATTTTTCATTAATCATATTTTAACAAACAAATTTTCAGCTGAAATCTTCTTACAGTGTAAAGAATTATTGTCCTGTTTCTGTATAAATGGGCCAGGCAAACGGATTACTGTATTTCATCTAACGAAGATGAATTCAATCTCTGCATCAGTAAAATTTCATGATAAATCAAAACCTTTTGGAAAAAAATTAATGCAGCATTAAAAAATTAACAAAACCGGAAGATTTCCCAAGAGTTGTTTGAATTATGTAATTGTTGGCATTAGTGAGATAACGTCTGAAAAGCCATTTTTAAAAATGTCATTTGGTTTTTCAAAGGAGAAGCTTGTGAGGACTCAGAAAGTACTGAAATTCCTGTATAAAAAATTGTAAATCGCTCCAAAAACATGATTTCTCAGAAATTAGTTTGTCTTATTATTCAAATCTAATTTTTTCTTGAGCTCAGTATTTTCAAATAATTACTTCTTATTCTTTATAAAACAAAATTTGGCTTTTTGAAGGAGATGCTCGTGAGGACTGAGAAAGTACTGAAATTCCTGGATAAAAAATTGTAAATTGTTCCAAAAACATGAATCCTCAGAAATTATTTTATCTTATTTAATTATAAGTTTTTCTTTAGCTCAATATTTTGAAATAACTATCTGATATTCTTTAAAAAATGTCATTTGGCTTTTTGAAGGATAAGCTTGTGAGGACTGAGAAAGCACTGAAATGCCAGGATAAAAAAGTTTAAATTGCTCCAAGAACCTGATTTCTCAGAAATTAGTTCATCGCATTTAATCCTAATATTTTCTTTAGCTCAATATTTTAAAAAAATTATTTCTTATTCTTAATAAAGAAGAAAATGATGTTTGTTCGATATTATGAATTAATGAAATAGCGTCATGTGGAGCACCTCCTCCGGAAACGCCGTCTATCCGAGTGAAATGTCGGTTCACGAGCAGCGACATCTACGAGTGCCTACAAACATGTAGACAAACTTTTCAAGGCTTCGCCAAGAAGGTGCCGCACTACAAAACCATCTGCGGACCCGACAACAAATGGACCTCGTTCGATGACGTTTGCGTCACCGAATGCGACAACGCGACACTTCCCGATTTTCCCGGCGTGTCGAGAACCTGGAACGGATCCGTTTCCATGTGGTCGGAAGCTACTTTCTCGTGTAATAATCCCTGGGAATCGTTTGACGGAGTCACAAGGGGTTTCACGAATACGACTGCATCGTGTGTGGAACCCGGGATCTGGAAGCTCCTCAGCAATTATCCCACCACCGGCTCCAGTACCGGGTTATTAAAGTGTTTATCGGTTGTCAACTGGTGCGATGAAGCCCTGCTACCCAATGCTAGTGCTGACGTGTTATCGATCAGAAAAGACGGCAACGACAGCAGATACAACGACAGTCGAATTTTCGAGTTTATAGACAGATACGACATCTATGTGTGCAATTCGACGGGAGATTGGGACAAGAATAATGTGAAGATGAAGGATCTCCGTTGTGATTCCGCGTTGCTCAGGTGTGTGTCTCATTGATGTTTAAAAAATGATCACACAGGGATTTGCTGCTGTGCAGTGACAATAAGCTACTTCCTAAAATTACAGATGTAATGTAAATTGCTGCAAAACATCGCGTGTACAGAGATTTTATGAAGAGTGGGTATCCAGCAAAAAGCCCCCCTGAAAACCCCCCTCACAAAAGCCCCCCCCCCCCCATTTTTCTTCAAATTGGATACAAGTTTCAAAATAGTGTTTGGTGGCTCTGAGAAGGGCTGTTTGGTTTCATTAGTCCTCAAAAGGCCTGTTTAATAATCATCTTCAAAATTGCCTACTGCTGCCATTTCCTCAGTGTCACTGCTGCTCTCCATGTCATTTTCTTCTTGATGTGGCCCTCTTATATCATCTCCTTCTATATTAGCACATTCCCAGCATATAGTACTGGCTTTTGTGTTCTTAACCATGAATAATGGCCATTGTACTATGCCTTTTGACTGCCCTTCTGATTTTTGATGATCTGAAGTTTGCCAGCCATTGGATGAACAACCCAAGTGGAGAGCTATTTTTGCTGTGACCCCATAGTAGGTGCACACCAGGGTCACAACTGGTGCATATGGGATATTCTGGGGTTACAAGTGTGCACACCTGTAGAGGAAATTTTGCTACCATTCCAGGGCTACACTTGGTGCACAAATGTGACATAACAGGAGT